TGTGTGTGTGTGTGTGTGTGTGTGTGTGTGTGTGTGTGTGTGTGTGTATGACGTGTGTACCTGGTACCAGAGCCCTTGGAACTGGAATTATGGATGTTTGTGAACCACCATGTGGCTCCTGAACCCAAGTCCTTTGCAAGGGGACTAGGTGGTCCTAACTGCTGGACAATCTTTCAGCCTCTGTTAAGACAATTGAAACATTGTGCATTTTATTGAATCACTGTTAAAAGGAATAAACATTTTAAGGTTTTAATGTTCAAGGGTTAAACTTACGCTGTAATGATCGTTCTATAAGCTCGGCTTTGGCCGTAGTAAAAGCTAGTGACCACAGAGCGTTTGAATGACTCACTTCTGCAGTGCAGCAGTGAGCAAATCAGATGTTGAACATATATACACTATGTTCATATTTGACTAATTTTATCTGAATTAAGTGCTTTAAGGAATGGATGTTCAGAAAGAATGGTATGGCTAAGGGTCGGGGAGGACAGAGGCCTGGTGGAGGTCTCGGTGTTTCAGAGAATGTCCAGTCTGTGACATGCTGAGTAGTCAGCCTTCCATTTCGTGGCTGAGAAACCACCCCACAGCTGCATAGCTTAAAACTCTAATTTGTTATTTCTAAGTTGGTGTGGTCTGACTGGCGGGCTGTCCGCTGGCTTTCTCTAAGATGGCCCCCACTGCTGTGGGAGCCGGCGAGCTGCCCTGGCCCCTCTCCCCGGTCCTGTCTGCACTGTGGAGGGGAGGTTAGCAGGGTCCTGTGACCACTGCCACAGGGAGGTTAGTGCCCGCAGGTTTGCCTTTCACAGGAAGCACCCCATGAAATCGGGAGGATTGGCTTGGCTTGCAAAGTTATTTATGAACACTAATACCACCTAATTTTCCCAAATGTTTTCAGCACTCCAGAATCCTAGGATACTGTGTTTCCTAGGGGGAAGTGACAGGCTCGCTGTGGGCTTCCCCAGCTGTGGTGGACAGAAGCAGCTGGCAGAGGCATCCCAGCTCCCAGAGGGGTGCGCATTCATCGGAGAGGCCCCCGCACTCGCCGAGCCGAGCCCTGGCTCCTCTCCCGCACTGCTGTGTCTGCCGCTTCTCCGTGTGTTGATTCTGGTTACAGGAGCACTTTTAACGTCAGGTTGCCTTTGCTGAAATTACGGTGACTCGGGTAAATTCCACAGCAGATGGCAGGTTTGCGGCAGATTGGAGCCGTGCTGGACAGGCTTTCTGCCTCACCGAGGAGAAGCAGGAGGGACGGCCTGGAGTGCCTGGCAAGGCAGTGTAGCGTGGGCCAGCTCTGCCCACTGGCGCTGGGGCCACATCTTAGCGGCTCCGGGTGTAAAGACAGCGGCTCCCGAATCCCCCATTTTCAGAGGGAGCCGCCGTCTCGAAAATCAGTCACGAAGTTGTAGTCCTTCTTTCTCGGTTGGATTAGCAGTGCTGTATTAGCTCTTGAAAACCCTGTGTGCACGTGTGCATGTATGTGTGTATGTGTCTCTCTGTGTGTGCAGGCATGTGTCTCTGTGTGCCTGTGTGTGTGGGGGGGGGGGCACATGCTGTCTTTCAAACAGAAAAGGAGCAGGCACGGTTTCGGGCGAGGACATGTAGCCAGCCGTGGCAGGCGTATGGCTGTTACACCAACACCCGTTACCTGTTTTGCATGTGTTTCATTAAATGTCAGATTCGTGTTCTGTAGTCAGAGGCAGTCAGCAGCCCAGCTCACCTGTTGGACAAAATTTTTCAAGCAGCTGAAGACAGTGTTCGCGCTGAGAATGGCTGCCCTCTCCTCCGGCTCCGGGCGTCACTCGGCTCCGGAAGTGCTCGGGAGTTGGCACCGAGCGCAGCACACTCCTTACGATAATGGCTGTCGGCTTGCACAACCAGTGACACTGGGGCAGCGTGAGGCTTCATCGTTCACTGTGTTTGCCTTCAGATTAGCTTTTTAGAAAAGTTTAGAATTTGGCAGTTTGGCTCCTTAATTCAAAGCTCAGCTTGGGACTTAGCAGTATTATCTGGCACAGTGTAACTTTGGTATTTTTCTCTGATAATCACAGTAAAGTTATACAGGTAAAATGTACATTTTCTCTTTTTTAATCATTTGTGCATTGTACTTTACGGTATTAGCAATTCATTTTTTCAAAATAAATCTTATTTTTAAGTCAGATTAAGTAAGAAAAATGAAAATTTAAATATTTAAAATATAATTAATTAACGATAATATAATTATGAATTATTATTGGCATAGTTATTCTACAAGAATGATAAATTTTTCATTAAACTGATTGTTATTAATAGTGTTGGACCTTTACTGTCCCAGTTGGTGTGAACTGGTTGTGAAGGTGTTTATATAAACCCCGTTCATGTCCTACAATAATATTTAAAGAGTGGCCTTTAGCTTCACGTTCACTATAAAATTATTTCGGTGAGTAAGCCTTCCTTCGTCAGTAGCATGTTCCGGATGATCTGAGCAGTGGAGCTATGACATCACTGATCTAGCTTAGGAGTAAGTAGATTCGGAAAGGAATAATGCCTGGTTGCTATGACAATGTGGCTCTCAGCAGCTGCTGATTTGTTGCTGGAACACAGGGCTCATCGGGCAAGCTCCGAGCCGTGCGTGAGAAGCTGTGGACCTTCCTGCTTTAGTCTTTCTACGCCGTGCGTCACAGCGAAGCTGGACCCCGGTGCACAGAGGTGACCAGCAGAAAATCCGGGCAGGTAGGCTATTTTCCCAAGTTTATTCTCCTACTGTGATCTGTGAGAGCAGATACCCTGAGGGCAGAATGCTGGGTAATTAGCATTTGCAAGCTCGCATTCAGCAATGGAGTGAGCGCTACCCTAAACTAGTGCTGCTGTGTCAGGCAGCGTGGAGAAATCCTGCTGTATGTTCGGTTCTGAGAAAGTGTACGGAATTACCAATTTTAATTCTGCTACATGTTAGCTGCAATATGCCAGCTTTTAAAAAAAAAATCCTTGTAAAGAGCTTGAAAAGGATCTGTCATCAGACCACCAGGCATACTTTCTCCCTTTGAAAAGGCATTTTACCATAAAGCTTTCCGCCTGTGTCACAAGACCCTTTTCTTGTGGTTTGCAAGATTAGATGGCTTTATTTCACAATTGATTGGTTCAGGGATGCGGTGTGCGCTGCTGCGGAGGTCCTCGGCAGCTGCACAGTGATCTCTGGCATTCACTAGGTGCCGTTTGAAACATCAGCATTAAACAAAAGATGGATGTCTGTCAGAAAGTGTGAGTGTTTTAAAAACAGTGAAATAGAATTTTGAGGGTGTGGAACTAAAATGGCTTCGTGACTATTTTTAGGTTAAAGCAGGTGCCTCAGAAATAACACAGGCATGTTCAGCTCTCGCCCTCAATCTCTCTCTCTCTCTCTCTCTCTCTCTGATGTTAAGCTAAAAGACTATATTTTATGAAACAAATATTTTAGTGTTATGAAACACGAAGCCATGTATGATAAATTCTATCTCAGCTATATTAGATTCCTATTCATAATGAGGCCTGCTTAATAACACTGCTAACTGTCATTAATTTAAAGAGCGGTTGCTGAAGATGCTCCTTTTTTACATGTAATAAAAACCATCAGCTCTTTAGGAATTGAACACTTTTCCCATGCGTGTATGGGTGCTGGCTTTTAGACACCAGCTTTTCTTCCGTAGTCTGCAATATGAAGAAGCAAAGATGAGCTTCCCTTCCGTAGCTGTCCTTTGAGCAAACTTTGTTTGTTTTTTTTTTTTTCTTTTTTAGAGGATTTCACAACAAAGTTGGATTTCGGGGTTTCTTTAGTCTTTCATAGTACTGATTTAAAATGTGTAAGTGTACACTTATCTACATAGCTAGACAAGTTGTCAGTGGTAATGCAGTTAATTTTGCACGAACCTCTGGTTTTTGTGACGACGCAGCAGGGCCATAGTCTTGAATTATAAATGTGCTGAATGATAAGTGAATCCTGACTTATGCATAATTACTGCTTTGTTCTAACATTCTTAGGTTCTTCCTGAGGTACTGATTTGAGAAAATTTTTATTAATTTAAGTGTGTTATTATGCAGGTGTTTGATTGCTGCAGACCATCTTTGCCATCTCAAGGGTTTTTGCTCTGCCATAGAGCATTCATCCTATGGAGATTGTAGAAGATGGTTGAGAGCTGTTCTACTGAAAAAAAAAAAAAAAAAAAAAAACATTTGAGAAATTACATGTGCAGATAAATTCCTATTCAAAGTAAAACTTGAAATCTGAACTGGACTTTAGCCCTCAAATCACATTCTTTATTTTCCAGTATCATCCCAGTTCTTGTTTTAAATGTATAAGCATGAATTTCCCAATAATTCCCAAATAAACTTAACTTATAAAGTGAATTGTCATTTTGCTCCAGTAAGAATAAGATGAGTTATAGGATACATATTTCTCTTCTCTTTCCCCCATCCTTTAATTGGCCTGTACACCAACAGAGTATATTTAGAGTAATGGGATATTTTTTTCATATTACATTTATGTATAAAATCTTATTTTTTGACATTTGAAAACTAAATAAAACCGGTTATTTTAAAATGTACAGCTTATGAAAATTTTGGATTTTTTAAATGAATGTGCGTGGTTTTACATTTTCATTTATTAACTTTAAGAGCATAAACTTTTCTGAACCAGAGAGTAAGATTGAAGAATGGGTTCTTTATTAAAAAATGTGATAATAAGAAATTGTTTGTGCTGCTTTTGATTTCAAGTTTTGATTTATTTTTTATTTCTATCAAAATGTAGCATTTTCTCCAGGCGCTCTGTTTTTCCTGAATTTCTCTGGTAATAATAATGTTCCTGGTCACTGCCTGGCTTTTTACAGCTGCGGTTGCCAACGGCGATGACTGCAGACTTGGCCGGAGTTCCGCAGCTCTCAGGTACAGTGTGCACACGTCAGTGAGGAAGTTGTTTAAATGTTTCATTTCATACTTCGGAATTAAGTTTTTATTAATTAAAGCTATTTTTTAAAGGAAGACATTTTGAATTTTAAAATGTCAACACATTTTATATATGCATTTTAAATGATGTAAATTTCTCATATTCATCTGGTATAGGAAATACACGCCTTTTTCATTTCCTTGAAATTCTTTGGCAAATAACATAGGAGCTGTTCCAGCAAACAAGGAATTGCTTAGATGTGTGCCGTCCAGTTTGGCATCTGCGTTGTTACAGGAGCAGGCTCACTTGTTCCAGTTTTCTCTCTGTGGAGTAAAAGAGCAAGTGGTGTCAAAAGCACAGTGCAGGCAAATGGTGGGAACCAGGAAAGAGTATCCTGAGTGAGCTGTCCCAGAAGCAGAAAGACACACATGGGATATACCCACTCATAAGTGGATACTAGGCATATAATATAGGATAAACATACTAAAATCTGTACACCTATAGAAGCTAAGCAAGGAGGACCCTGGGTAAGATGCTAAATCCTCACTCAGAAAGGCAAACAGAATGGACATCAGAAGCGGGAGAAGACAGGGATCACGACAAGAGGGGCTCTGAAAGGCTCTACACAGTAGGGTATCAAAGCAGATGCTGAGAGTCATAGCCAAACTTTGGGCAGAGTGCAGGGAATCTTATGAAAGAAGGGGGAGATAGAAAGACCTAGAGGGGACAGGAGCTCCATAAGGAGAGCAACAGAACCAAAAAGCCTGGGCCCATGGGGTCCTGCAGAGACTGATACTCCAACCAAGGACCATGAATGGAGATAACCTAGAACCCCTGCACAGATGTAGCCCATGGAAGCTCAGTCTCCAAGTGGGTTCCCTAGTATGGGAACAGGGGCTGTCTCTGACATGAACTCAGTGGCTCACTCCCTGAGGGTGAAGCAGCCTTACCAGGCCACAGAGAAAGACAATGTAGCCAGTCCTGATGAGACTGATAGGCTAGGGTGGAAGGGAAAGGGAGGAGGATCCCCCTATCAGTGGACTTGGAGTGGGGGCATGGGAGGAGATGAGGGAGGGCAGGATTGGGAGGGAATGAGGGAGGGGGCTACAGCTGGGATACAAAGTGAATAAACTGTAATTAATTAAAAAAGAGCAAATGCATTGCCCTTATCTCCCACTAGGTAGGAACTGCGCCTTCTGCAGCCTTGGCACGGCTCTCTTGTAGCAGGAGGCATCGGGCCCTAAATATCTCTGATTGGAAACTGGGACGGTGGACGGTTTTGTCAGCATGCCCCCGGGGGTTGTTTTCCCGTGCCTCACAGTCTGCGTGTGCGCCACGTTCTGAGCCCTCCCACCACAAAGTGTCCACCACCCTGAGAGTCCACGCGCAGCCTGAGTGTGCTAGCACAGCTCCAGCACGTGGGAAGGGGGTGGGGATCAGCACCAGCGGGGGAATGCAGCCCTGCCTTAAACAAAGCCTCACCCGACCTTTCCCACTGCAGGAAGGTTGGACCCACCAGGCTCTTCAGGGCCTTGCTAAGTGTGTTCTGTAATTCCTGGAAAGCTGCTGGTTGGTTTGTTTCCACTCTTCTGTGTCATTCCCTGAGAATCTACTCCGTGAGTGCTGGCCTTGTCCTACCTGAGCCACACTCTGAGCTGCTTTTTTTCTGTACAACAGAATAGAACAATTTTAATTTTTGTTGCTTGTTTCAAAGTAAAATGGGGCTTGGGTACTAACAAACCAGGAGTGGCCTGAACTGGTAATTCTCAGTGCTCGGTCCAGGGACATGGTGGCGCGTTACGCTGCTCTGACTGATGGCTCTGTTTATGAGTTTGGCATGGTTGTGTACCTCAGTAATCCAACATTAGGGACACTGAGGCAGGAGGATTGTTACTTCAAGGTCAGCTAGCTTACATAGCAAAACCTTGTCTCAAAACAAGTATGAAATACCAGGAAAATAGAAAAGATAACAAAAGCTGGTTCCCTTTCAGAGGATTGGTTCTTTTTCATCTTTGTCCATACAGTGTGGCGAGCACCCCCAGCTGGCTGTGCATTTATAGGAAATGTATATAAGCTCTGAGATGTAAGCCTAAGGCCGCCTAGGAATGCATGCGCACCAAATCCATACCATGCCGCACTGTATCTATCTCATGTAACGTAATTTTACCCACAGCACAATAGTTCACAGCACACTAAGATAAGTGGAGTCCATTTTTCAGCACAGGGGGAGACCCTACAGCAAAGCTTGCTATTTGTAAGTGTTAAAAACAAAGAAATGTGCCAGGGAGTAGAAGTGCATGCCTCTAATTCCAGTACTCTGGAGGCAGAGGCAGGAGGATAGCTGTGAGTTAGAGGGCAGCCTGGTCTACAGAGTGAGGTCTAGGACGAAACAGCCAGGGCTACATAGTCAGACCCTGTCTCAAAAAGCAAAAACAAACAAACAAACAAAAAACAAAACAAAGGGGATTGGTATGTTTCAAGTTAAGACATGGTCAAGAAAATAAAAAAATGAGGAACAATGTTATTTGAAGTTTAAAAACACTTAAAATTATGAAACACTGTTCAAAAGAAAAACATTCTCTACAGACATACATAGTCTAAAATATGCTTAAATTTTTCAAAATGTCCCAGGCCCATTAACCCAAAGGTAGGCTAATAGTCTGTTGATTGCATTATCACTGTATGTGCTTTTTCCTGTTTAGCTTTATTTATTCTCACATACACACATACACACATGTACATGAGGCAGTTTTTTATATACTTGGAAGCTTTTTATATTTATAAATAAAGCCTGGAACTTGCTTTATTTGTCACTACATGCTTAATTTGACAGCGGTTACAAGTGTTTTCTGGGCCCCCAGTGTGTTGTGGGGCATAAAGTGTTGAATTATCAAAAAGAAAGCCACACAGGTTCTGCCCTACAGTCCCAGGGAGAAAAGATTTCCGCATGTTGACGTGTGTATCCACCTTTATTCTTTGGCGTGTTGCTCCTGTCCTCATCAGGGTCAGGGCGGGATGACGGCATGCTCTGCTCTGTGCCCTGTGGCTTTCCTTCTCCCCATTTCAGCTGTTTAGGATGGCCTTTTCTCTGCGGCCTCTGGATAGCCAGTGCCGGACTATCATCCAGGACTTTCTTAAACCTAAACTTTTCAAGTGTACATGTTGTGTTTATAGACACTTTTGGGGTTTTTTGGTTTAATAAGGATTCCCAGAGTTGAAGAATTTTTGGTGAAAACATTTATACTACCCCTCAGATTAAACCATTTAGATGACCACATCCTTAAGGCGATAAATCATGAGCTCAAGTCTCAATTCTGTCTTTATCACGTGACCTTGGCTAAGTCACATGTCTGCTGTGATACCAGTTTCTTACCTAACAAATAAAGATGGCCACAAGAGCTATCATAGGTCTCTGTAACGGTGAAGGGAAGGGGTGAGACACAGCGTTAGCGTGGACCCTGAGATGGGCGCCCGAGTCCCCAAGTATGTCCTCAGAATGGCCTGAGTCATCAGGGATTAATTTCTACTGTAACACCATGGTTAAATAAACATTTAGTGCTGTATTTCATATTTGATTAAGGTAATGCAGTTAGTAACCCAAAATTTTTATGAAAATGACACAAGATATCTCAAGTTTTGAGTGATCCTAAATCAAAATCAGAATATAAAAGCTAGGGCTGTGTTGCTCCCTGGACAAGCACTTGCCCAGCATGAGGTGAACTTTGCTAAACTGTTCCTTCTAAAATCTTGGCTGAAGCCAGGTGTCATGGTGAATGCCTTTGGGGTAGCACTAGGAGGCAGAGTGTCTCAGTAAATAACAACCACAGAAAGCCAAACCACAACTATTGAAACCAAGTGTTCTGGGTCAAATACATGTTGTTCTATAGTTTCCTTCTTTCCTTCCTTTCTTTTTTAGCAAAGGAGACAAGGCTCTGATGTTGACGTTATAAAAATAAAACCCGGGACGGAAAATAACAAGAAACTGTGTCGAACTTATCTTCCTACCAATTAGAAAATGAAATCTGATGGATTAGGAGCATCTGGACATACATCAGGCACTAACAGAAATGGTGTAAATAAAGCCTTCAAGCCTGGTGATGGTGCAGACATACGCAAAATTGCAGAAGAATTGAAAACTGGGGAGAAAAGTGTTTCTGGCCTTAAGTCTAAAACTGTAATAAAGCCCCAAAGAGAAAACAATGATAACACAGAGTTTGAAAGTCTTTCATCCAAAGTTGTGGGAAGACCTGCAAGAGTAACAGCCACTGGACAGAAGGACTCAGGTAATGGGAGAGGAAGACGGAACCAAGAAGGAGAGACAGCAGGGGCCAGGCCCAAGGTCCTCACTGCAAGCCTGAATGTGCAAACCAGAGCCAAGCCATTGAGAACAGGGGCAGGGAAAGAGTCTTCCTGCCCCAGTGCTGGAGGACCCTACAGTAGGTCTACAAATTCGAGTCTGGAGCTTTTGACTTCCACGGGCTGCGTGGATGGGCCGAAAGAAAGCGGGTCTGCAGAAGACAGGTCTTGTGATGAGAAGCCATACTTGAGCTGTTCTCCAGGACAGACGCTGAACAATGGAGTCGTGTCAGCTGGAGGTGAGCTGTAGCACTCTTATTTTGCTGACGTTGTGTTTGTGTGTGAGACAGAGACAGACAGAACAAAGCCAGGGCTCTCTACATGCCGGACAGGCGTCTGCATCGTCCACTCCACGCTGGAGGAAGTTTTGAGACAGGGCTTCTCTGCTGGCCACGCTGGCTCAGGCTCGCTGCGTGGCTCAGAGTGTGCTTGAACTTCTGATTCTGTCTCTGCCTCCCAGGGGCTGTAGGCGTGCCCCACCACACCCACACTCTGTGGTGCTGCAGATGCGGGGCCTGCGTTAGGCTAGACACACAGTCTACTGAATAAGACACGCCCCTAGCCCCGAAGTCCTACTAAAGGAGCTCCTAATACGAAAGGCTCCTAGGTGGTCCTTGCATGCTTTCGTTCTTTGTAAATGCTAAAATGTGTTTTTATGCATGTTGAACTGAGAGAATATGGTCTCCTCTGTGTCAGCACTTGATTTTTAGTGTATAGCCTGTGTATTTATCCAGTTACTATTTTTAATGTTCTCTTTTTCATGGCTGATATTTCTTAATTTATAGCTGTAAAATCCGGACCAGGACCAGTTTCAAAAGTTACCAATGGAACGTCCAATGGAAAAAGCATTCATGATCAAGACACTGACATAAATAGCAGGTGGGCCTCTGTTCAGCATTTCCCCGGATGTCTCTGTAGGCTGGTTTGTACACTAACTTCTAGCTAAATGCTTGGAAAGGTTTTTCTTTGCTTAAATATATTTATGAAATTGTATTTTTTAACTTTGTTTTATATTTATATAAAATGAGGCAACGTAGTAAGCTTCTTCGCTATCCTCAGCGACATGTAAAGTTATGAATTGGCTTATGCACAGTCTCCTCTTTCAAAATGGAAAGGGTTATGAACACAGGTTTCTCTATTTTCAGAAAGGGTATATTGCCATTTCTTGACAAAATATGTGATCGTACATGGTTGTGGTTGTATGCAGGTATTTGTAAGTTCATGTTTTGGAGTATCACTCTAATACTAAGTGCAATCATTTTTCTTAGCATAATAAAAAAAGTGAGTGGCAAAGGACTTAGTGATTCAGCACCACAGACAACTGTGAAAAAAAGAGGGAGCAGCAACCGACACACAGCAGCTCAGCCACGGACAAAGAGCGCCCCGCCCACCCTGGCTCAAACTCAAGGTAAAGCTGCAGTGGTGCTAGGGGTTCCGGGTTGGTCCTGAGCGGTGGCCTTGAGGGTTCTGGGTCATGCGTCAGCTGGACAAGCAAAGCTCCAGCCAGACCTGCCACTACCGGTGAGCAAGATAGATAGGACACGGCTTTATTTCCTGTGCACGGGTCTCATTCTGTAGAGGTAAAGTTTTATGGATTTTAGGTAGATACTTGGTGTTAGGTTGATTTTGGTTTTCCTGTTCCTCATGGAGAGAAATGTAAAGGAGCCACTGACTGCTCTCTGTGCTGGTCCTTTTGTGGAACATGCCCAGGCTTCTTGGAAGTTTCCTTGATGCCTACAGGACCTGTATTTGTGAAGCAGCACTGAATGCTCTTAAAGAACAGGGGAGATAGGTGACCGTGTGGAGAAAGCCTCCATAGCCTGCCACTGTGCTGCTGTTTCTCATTGTTCTAAGAAAAGACTGGTTAGATTACATAATCTGCATGTAACAACCAATTTAAGTATTACCCTGGACCTGGGTGTGGGCCTGTGTCCTTCCACTGGGGACAGAAAGGCAAAGTCATCCTTGATCAATAGAGTTAGTTCACGCCAGTCTGGACTCCATGAGATGCTGTCTCAGAACACACAGGGAGGCAGGAGGCTGGGGGAACGGCTGAGAGCACGAGGGTTGGGGAAGCTGGGTGTGCAGAGCACAGAGTCTCGTCACTGGGAGGAGATTCGTGGACCCTGAGGCTCAGCGGTCCGCCCCAGCCTCAGTGAGGCCCAAGTCCTGGCGAGAGGCCCTGTCTCAGCAAACTCCTGAGGAGCACCAGCTGCTCTGGCATGCACACGTGAGCTTGTGCACACACAGTTGCACACCACAAGCACAAACAAATAATTACTTTTTATGTTATTAACCACTCATATGTAGGAACAGTTTATATAATCCAAAAATAATTTTGATTTGCATAATGAATTAATAGTGAATATCAATTTAAAACTCAGGCAAATAAGATATTCATATTCGGGTAGCAGCTGGAAATTAGGCACAGATCATCCATAGGGCTGGGGTAGCTCGGTGGCAGAATACTTGCTCACCTTTCACAAGTCCCTGGTCTCAGTCTCTAGAGCCCCACAGCCCCAAACACACACACACAAAGTTGGGATGGGGTTGGCAGATTTGAAGACCCCAAATTTCATTTCTAAGACTTTAAGCAGAGCACATAAATGGAATTTTTAACGACTAACTAATAAAATTAATTCTGCATCCCTGCAGCCCACAGTCTGGGTGTCTGCAGACCTGGGCTGGTAGCCCTGGGTAGCTGTGCTCATCCAGCATAAGCTTATTCCAGTTTGAAGGGAAGCTGATCATTTCAGCAATGGCCATTTTTAGGTCAGTTCTTCTTTTCCACGGTGTTGTTCCTTACTCCTCCTCCTCCCCGCCCCCCTCAAAAAAAAAAAAAAAAAAAAAAAAAAACACTTCAAAGAGAAGACCTTTCTTGCTGCTTGATGAAAGGAAATCAGATTTTCTGCTCTTACATATTTATGAAAATCCAGTTTGGGCACCATGAAGGTCGGGGTGAAGAGATTCTCTTGCAGGGCTTTTGCTAAGCTCTTGAAACAGTCTCTCTCTCTCCTTCTCTCTCTCTATATATATAAATTTACTTTATCGCTCATTATTCCTTGTCTGTCCATAACAGATTTTCCCTTTGATTGTTTTATTGATTTTATTTTCTCTAATGTGACTTTAAAACATTAAATTTCGCTCAGAATTTGAGAGGCCTTTGCATTTCTGACCCGTCTTAGGAGCCCAAGGAGAGTCGCTGTACCCTGGAAAGTGTTCAGTGTCTTCAAGGCATTCTGAGGAGAACGTGATGAGGTTGAGGCACGGCGCAGAAAAGCAGATGCCTAAGAGAAAGAGCGTCAAGCAAGGACACACATCTCTGCAGAAGGTCAATGCAAAGCTGGCCCCAATGCCTAAAAGCCTGAGTCAGTCCAAGAAAGGTGGAACTTTGACTAAGGACGCAAAGCAAAAACTGCTTCTCGGACAAGTCAGGCTGCAAACGCAGGCTTCTCAGAGGCCGCCCAGACCTGAAGCGGCGTCCACACCGAAGGGCGCGCTTCACAGTGCAAGCAGAAACCAGATTCTTAAACAGAGGCCTCCCGCGTCCCCGCTCAGCCTTGCTTCTGAAAGCAGCGGGGCAGAGGCGCCCCAGTCACCACTCAGGCCTCAGCCCCAGAGGCCGCCAGGCCATCAAGAGGAGCTGGAGCCAGAGATGCCCCACAGCTCGCAGCCGGACGGGCCCCGAAAGCGCGAAGCGAAGCCAAAGCACGCCGGTGCCGACCCCAGCAGCACGCGCGCTCACCGGGACCCAAATCCCGGCGGCGAGAGTTCCAGTTGCCGCGGCGTCGGTGCTCAGAAACCCTCGATTCCAAACCCAAGTGAGGGCGTCGCCGACCCTAACCCAGCCCGCGATTCCGCGTCGGCGAGCGCAGGCCCGGTCCACTCGCCGTCCGGCAGAGAGAAGCAACTGG